ACTAAAATACAGCCAACTTAAAAGAGAATTTTATACTTTCTTAACTAAATAATCAGGATAAAATCGACTTAAAATAATCCTCTCTTAAAGAACTTTATAACTTTAATCATCTTTTGTACTTAAAAAAAATTGATAAAATTATTTAAAGCTTGTTTGATACGTAAATATAGATTTTTAGATGTACAGAGTGGCCTAAAAGTCAGTTAACCTTCTTGTTTTGTGTTTCAAGCAAATAAGAATCGTAAACTGAGTTTAGAACATGGAGTTTTTTTTTCTTTTTTTACAAAACTAGGGAATGAATAAGACATCACTTTAGTCTTTTTTATCGGTTAACCGACTTTTGGGCCACTTTTAGAACCATTCAATTATTTTACAAGTTACTTCTCACAGTTTTCTAATCCTATAAGCAGTTAAATCTCATTTTAATATTTAATATTCTTTCCACTTCAGAATAAAATTTTTAAAATTTAACTCGAAATTTTATCAATTTCAAAACATATAACACAAACAATACCTACATTTCTAAAATTACATTTTAAAGTTATATAAATGCAAACTTAATAAGGTGCCGTACTCGTACACAAACAGGTTCGTTCAAGAATTAAAATCAGAAAATATTGTATGTGATTTATCCTTAATATCAAACTAAATTAAGTTCGTGTACAGAGTTAATTCTTCCTTTTAATTGTTCTACTTTTAAATAAAAGATATAGCTACAGTAACGTGACCTTTAAGCTCAATTAAACAAAAAAGTAACCGGCTGTATAACGTCCTGTATTTATATCCTGATTCCTGAAATTTTGGCGATTTTCTTCCTGCGATGCCCATTAAACAGTATAATTTTGTTGTAATTAAATGCCTAATTGTACGAGGAACAGAAGGTTTACGTGATATTCTATCTGCTTCGATATCATTATTAAGAAATTAATGCTATAATTAGTTTAATCTGTAAAAATTGCGTTAAACGTGCGTAAATTCGTTTAAAACGCTTTATTTTATATATATATATATATATTTTACGTAATAGAGATGAAATGTATACAATTTAGAATTGAAATAACAGATGATTGAAACTGATGATTTATTTAGTTTAAAATGAAACAGCTGATCGAAATTGACGAGTATTTTAAAAAATTAAGTAAGTTACAACAATGCTGAAATGTACAAATTACAAACAGCTGATTAAAAAATCAAATTTAAAATCAGAAAAAAATATAAATTTATACACAATTTTAAAAAATCGAAAATTCTTGAATTTGTTTTGTTAAATTTAATTTTAAATTAACGACATGTGACACGACTTTTATATTTATTTTAACTGTACAACGTTGATATAATTCAGTATTTTTTTTAAAGATAGAAGGTTAAAATGGGAATTTTAAAAATGTTTCCTACATTCTTTTTGGATTTTTTTTGCGATTTCTTTCCTATTTTATAGCTGTATATCGTACCTAGAATTCCATTTACGGATTTATTGGGATGTGTAGGCCACATAAAGAAATATCTAACTGTTACTCAAATTGAACTCTTCTATACGATTTTTAAAGTAGTGTTTTGCCTCGTCTAATGTACAAATTTACATTTTAAAGAGTTTTATACGTCGATACACTACTCAAACTTTGCTAAGTTATGGTTCTTGCACATATATACTGATACTTAAGAACGTATAGAACGTCTCACGTCATCATTATTGCTGCTTTCTTAGACTGTAACAAGGGGTTAAACTGCAGATTTTAGAGTGCAACTACACTTTCTCTTTTGTAAAAACAGAATTTCTCACTTAAAAGATTATTTTTTACGATAGAAAAAGCCATCATCTAGAAGTGTGGCACAACCGAGATTCCAACGATATGAAATTTTGTTAAGGAATATGATGAACTGGCAATATCCTGCAGACTCATACATCAAGTGTCAGGAGAGAAGTTTGTTTTTCTCCAAAGGGAATAGTATAACTACCAGAACCTGTCAAGTCAACGAAAGAGTATTGTAGCAACTGTTTCATTTTACTTGCGACCAAACAGTCAATTCACCTGTCATTCTTAAAATAGATTTCTCTATAGGTGTTCCTATATATTATTCTCCTTCGTTTAATATATTAAATGCGTTTCGTTCATCTGGATTGCTGTTAATGCTTAAAAAATATTCCTTAACTAGTAAACGAGCAATTATTTTATTGTGGCATCGTCACAATGCCAGGATGCATTTTTTAATCATACTTTTAAATTATTTAATTTAAAATATATTCTCTCCACCTCAAATTAGTAGTGTCTTGCCCCTGTACATCATACTTTTCCTGTTAGCAATAGAGTCGTGCCGGTCATATAACTAACACCTTTCAGGGGAAATTTGAATTGAAATAACGTGACTTCCGGTCCAAATCGGAAGTTCCTATACAGTTAATCGGGCCTCCTGCCCCTAAGCTTTTCATATCTATCTCAATTTTCATCTATCTAACTTTGTTCTCGAGATTAAGGAAAGAAGACAAACGGCAGTGGAAATTTAGATATACAATTTTTTCAAATTACAGCTCAACGATTGTAAAACAAATCTAATAATTTCAAATTTTTAAATTAATTTCGATTCAAAAAGATGAAACGACCTCCATTTTATTGCTCCAGGATGCAATGAAGCAATTTAAATTAGATGAATAGCCATAAAATTTAACTTTTTAAAGAGTTTTTCGAAACGATTAACATCAAAATGAAGATTTGTATGGGCCATTTTATAATTTTAACGAAACAAAGTTTCATTATTATAATATAGGTCTATATATCTTAATAATTTAGTTATAAAATCAAAATTTTAGCTATTCTCTTTAAAGATTATGTCATTAATAGTGTAAACCAGTATATGATAATCGAACTATACAATACTCTAACCTCTTATAATTAACAAACACCTACTTAAACGTCAATCAGTTTAGAGATAAAGTTGGTACGGAGCGACATACTGACAAACAATGTAAAATTTTTCTTCGAAAAAAAAATCTTTAAAAAAATCTAAAGTATGCAAGTAAATTTACATCCAGTTTTCGAACTTTTCGATAAATTTTTGAAGTGATTTATTTGCAATTTTATAAAGTCGAATTTTTATATATAAATTTTGAAACTTTTACCACCTTTTTACGGTTAAAAATTGAGCAGTGTGTGATTTTTATCTGTATTAAAAAATAATTGACAAGGAAAAAAAAGTCATTGTATGGAATTTTATAAAGAAAAAAAAATCTAAATTTGTCAACATTATAACTTGATCCACTTGAGAAAAGAGTAGAGCCTCTTGTTAACTTCAGTTGTCATCTATGTTTGCTTTGGTTGTCTATGGTTAGCAGCATGGGTTTTGTGTTAACTTTTCGAAGTAAAATAAAATAATCTAGAAGAAATCTGAGGATATTTCTCAACTGAAAACTTTCTCTTGAACCTTTCTAACCTTCGAAGAAAGCTTTCTTATAGAAAAACACTTCTAAAAACACTTTAAAACTGTGTTCTTTCAGACAACTCGTGCTGCAAGATACACTTACACTGGATATATTTTAAGCTAATCAGCAGGATAATTAACTTAAATATATATATATAAAATTAATTTATACTTAGTTTACACGTAATATTTGAATTTAGAGGAATGTAAACAGCTAGCAAATGTTTAAATTTCACGAGATATTCCTAAAATCTTAGTCTAATCAATGATTTAATTATATACAGGGCATATTGCCAGAGCTTATATTCCGTTAGGAGGGATGCCAAAGTCATCTTTTCCTCATTAGTACTATTTTATAAAAACTATTTCTATATTGCTTATAGAAAGCTAGCTTTATATATAATTTATAGCAAGTTATATATAATTTTATAGATGTATTATAGTTAAAAATAGATCATTTACTTTCTAAACAATAGAAACGGATCGATTTTCGATCAATTCATCGATTTCTTTTACGTAATTGATTACGTAAGGACAACAATTAGAAAAGGGCCATCAAACAAAAATGGTTTTAGCAATTAGCGGATCCTTAACAATAAATTAATTGAATTGTTTAACAATCGATAGGGGGAATTAATTCTGGATAAGTAAAATTGTTAAAAGTGAAGTTAGGTAATGACAAAGTTTGCAAAAGGTGTATTGTTTCAGCAATTTACAAAAGAGATGCAACTCACTTTCATACTATTTTCGAAGTTGTTTATTCTTCCTGCGCTTGTACAAACAGCATAAGAGCAACTCAAACTATAAAACTAGTACTCATCAACATTATTTTATGACTAATATTGCACATATACTGCTACAGGAAGAAGGGGAAAAGAGTGTTTGCAGAACTTTTAGAAATATATCCTGAAGATACCAGGAGTATTGTACATCTTATCAAACTTTCTCCACTTCCTTTCTGTAAACATTGTTAACATTCAAAAAATCAATATGCACGAGGCATATTTTTGAATTTATCAACCATCCATGACTCATACACACGCAAAGAAACGTGATAAACTCGAAAAATGCTGATAAAACATAACTTTTACTAGAAGATATAGTATAAGTGCATAAAGAGTGTTTGACAAGAAGGCTCTTGTAAATATGCTAAAATTAACATATAAATCAACTAATGTGCTAAAAGCTGTGTTTTAACATGTTCTAACAAATGAAACAAAAATATATTTTAAAAATATTATTTTACATCCACATAAAAACGGTGGAAAGCGCCTTAAATGGAGTTGTGGGGTCTTCCCCTTCATAAACAAACTTCCAAGCTGTAGAAATATTAATCGCATCCTTATAGTTAATGCAGTTATTGCGTAACCCCGCTTTGTATATTTCCAGAATTTCTAGCATTCGTATGTGTTCCCTTCTGTGTGATAGTTTAATAAATTTAATACAGTAGTATGTAATCTAATGTAGATTATTACAAATATTTGAATGTTTAAAAGCCATTGTACTGTGTGAAAATTATCACAAAAATGTGAATCTAAATATATGAGTNATGTTCTAACAAATGAAACAAAAATATATTTTAAAGTATGAATATAAATTTTTAAATTTTTAAGGATTTTTTCATCTAAATTTACATACAAACATATGCTTTATAGCTTATATATAAAACCATTGGTAGCAAACCAACATCAGTATCAGCATAAATCACATTCACCTCCCATCTGTAGCTTCAACTATGATAAACCAACATGGCCATTACCATAAATCTCATGACTACTCTCCAGTTTTCAATATAAAGGTCGTATATATGAAAAACTATTATGATACATAAATTCCCAACAATATATATCTAGTAATTACAGTACAAAGGAGTGTAATATATATATTTTACTATTGATACAACAGAAAGATGCTATATATTCCTGTTCAACATATAGAATGATGGCAGGAAGGAGTACTCAATGGCTTTCTATCCCATAATTTAAAGTCAATATCTCAAAAAAATACAATATTTCACTATAAATGGGTAAATGTGTAAATACAGTAGTGAAAAAGTATAGTCACGCACATAACTACAATTTTTTCCTTGTAGTTAAATATAACTTATTAATAAAAGTATTGTATCAGAATTTATATAAATATTTTCATTAATTTTTAGAAAAATAATTATTAAATTTGTAATTTTCTTCGCAATATAAATGTAGATACAAACGACACCACAGAGGTGAGTTAACTAATCCCTCATGAGAAAGTATCACGTGATTATAAAACGTTACGTCATGAAAGAAAGGTCGTATTATTGACGTCACTATAAGAAAGAAAGACGTTAAGGAATGACATATCATTAACATAGTTATCAAAGATATAAGAAGATTAAAAGTATATAATAATCGATCTAAAAAATTGAAATGAAAATTGAAAGAATTTTCTACCGGAATGACGTCAAAATTTTTTTACCTTTTTTTCCCCATTTTTCTGTATCAAAATCCCGGATAAGCTTTAGATAAATTTTTTGTAATGATAATTACGAACGAACGATTTAATTCCATAAGCTTTTGCTACGAATTAAAGTTCAAACAGTTAAAATTATCAACGAATCAACGTCGTGTCTTACGTTTTTTGAATTTAAATTTAAATAAACCAATCAAACTCGATCAATTCTTTTTTGAATTAATGAAATATTTTAAAATTTATGAAATCATTATGTATAATATATTTTACAAAATTAATATTGATTTTTACCTTTGATTAAATTTCATTAATTTCTTCAACATGTAATTTAACCGAATCGTAAACATAATTATTTCTTAAGCCAGACGACATTTGAGTGTAACCGAAATTTAAATTAATTATTACATTTCTTATTTAAAAATTAATTATAATTTTGCTAATTTTAATTCATCTATTATCGTTATTATTATTACTGCTATGTAAACAGAATTGATAATTTTATTTATATTTAAATTAAATTAAACATTTTTTCATATATTCAAATTTTTTCTTTTGTTAAATTCTGACCAATCATAAGCAAGTTTAAAAATTTTAAAAAATCGTTAAGAATCTTTAGAATAATAAAAGAAATTTCAAATCTAAATCCTTGATTTTTTATTTTATTAAAATTTTATCGCCTTATTTAAATTATTTACATATTTAATAAGATTTTTATTTAAAAATTCGTTAGACTTATTTTTGATGCCGATGATTTTTTTGAAATTTAAATTTTTAAAAATTTTGAATCTGATCCATTAATCTAAATTCTAATTTTATTTCAGTTTTATTATTAAAATCTTTCCCAGA